CCCCCTCTCGAGGCTCGAGGAGACCAGTCAGTGACACTGACACCGGAATTTTAATGTGACAGTTTAGTCTGATATTTTAGAATGAAGTTCAATCCTTAGGAATCCTATCCTTCGTTGATTAGAGGGTGAGCAGGAAGAATTTTGTGTCCTATTAGCTTGCAACTGAATTGCCAACTTTTCATACAGCCTCTACCCTTAAGCTGCTTATGCTGCTGATGTTTGTTTACGTGGAGTGTGCAGACGGAACAGATACCATCTCATGACTTATATTTGATCTTGAAGGTTTATTTGTTTAGTTACAGTAGCTGAGCTCTTACCTTTACTTCTTCCTTGAGAGTTGTCACGTTTCACTCCTTTGATCTTTCTGTTAATTTAAATGCTGTAAACATTTCAAGAGTAAGGTTAAAAGACTCAAAGTGTATATTTCCCCCGTGAACTGTCGTTTACTGTCAGGGTTTCACCACGTGATTTTCTTTTTCGTGACTACAGATTTGTAACGATCTACCCCTAATTCACCTTCGATTGGATATTTTACACCAATATGAAGCCTCATCCAGGGCAGTCACCTTCAAGTACGTGCCCCATCTATATTTGCTTATTTTCAATCAAACTCAATATTTGTTATTATGATGGGTGTTTTAAATTTCATTTCAGTGCTGAAATATGTCAGTCTTGTGACATTGACACTGCAGAATGCAGTCCTGGGCCTGAGCATGCGCTATGCTCGCACTAGACCAGGGGACATGTTTCTATCATCATCAGGTAATTTATTTTTATTTCACCTTTTCACTTTATTTATATCAACAATAATTTTATGTTCTCTGTATATTTTTAGCTGTCTTGATGTCTGAGTTTGTAAAACTTATTACCTGCTTGGGTATTGTGTGGAAAGAAGAGGGAAGTTTTGCAAGAGCCACAGCATCAATACACAATACAGTTATAAAACAGCCCCTAGATACATTGAAAGTTTGTGTTCCATCTCTGGTGTACATTATTCAAAACAATCTTCTCTATGTGTCTGCCTCACATTTAGATGCTGCCACTTATCAGGTAACTAACTAAGAAAATAATTTGTGCTACTGGAGTCATGCAACTTCGTTGATACTAATGTCTGACACTCATTTAAAACCTCTCACAGGTCACTTACCAATTGAAAATTTTGACTACTGCCATGTTCGCTGTAACAATGCTGCGTCGGTCCCTCTTGAAAACTCAATGGATTTCTCTTGTGACTTTGGTACTAGGAGTTGTTTTGGTTCAACTTGCCAACACTGACCCCCCAAAAGTAATAGTTGGAGGTCCAGAACAAAATCGAGTTATAGGCTTCTCTGCAGCTCTATGTGCTTGCCTACTCTCAGGATTTGCTGGAATTTACTTTGAGAAAATCCTTAAAGGTTAGGATTTAAATGATTAATTTATTGTTACAAAACTGGTGATTTGCCATAATAATGTTTTATTTCCCTGCAGGGTCGGATATTTCAGTTTGGATGCGGAATGTTCAGCTCAGTTCGCTTTCCCTTCCTATTGGACTTTTCACCTGTTTGGTCACTGACTGGGAAGTTATGACAACCAAAGGATTGTTTTTTGGCTATAATGGATTTGTGTGGTACCTTGTAGTACTACAGGCAGGAGGTGGTCTTCTTGTTGCCATGGTTGTAAAATATGCAGATAACATATTAAAGGGATTTGCTACATCTCTTGCTATAATCTTGTCCTGCATTGCATCAATATATCTTTTTGAATTCAATTTGACCTTTCAATTTGCTCTGGGGGCAGCTTTAGTGATAGCTTCAATATTTCTGTATGGATATGTCCCTCCAAATCCAAACCAGCAAAGTAAAGTTTAAATGATAAATCGCTGCTTGTGTGTAAATATACTTAGTACAGAGTATGCATTAGACCCCCAAAACAGGAAGATATAATAGTTAGTAAAAGTTACACTTTTAACATTGATTCAAAGTTTAATCAAGTACTGTTTTTTTGTGACAAATATATCTGTGAAGAGCTACTAATCATTTTAAATTAGGAAAGGACCACTCACTGGCTGGATTGGAATTACTTTGTTCTTTTACTGAAAAAGACAATCTTGTGCCAAATGCTCAGCAAAAACAAGACTACATATATTATGTTTGAGAATATCTCTACTATACCTATTCATCAATCAGTTTCATGCTGATAGTGTGTGTGACTTTGACAGGCGCGGATTAAAGGGGGGTGGGCGATCGGCCCCCTGTCGGCTCTAGAGAGCCGCCTTAAAGGTAGGCAATCTACGCCACAAAACCCCTGTATGTAGGCAACCGACAGTGCATCGCCCCCCCTGTCAGTCGGACCTTAATCCGCCACTGGACTTTGAAGACTTCTTGTCAATTTATCAATTCAAGTTCCTTGCTTGTAATAGCTACTAGCTTTGAAAATTAGGTTTGTGTACATGGTATATTTATTGCAAGTACTTAATTTTTAATCAACTGGGATTGTATTTCTTGTATTGACTGTGTCACTGATTGTTGAACAATCATCAATTTATTGTTGGTTCTTTTCCCTAGAACTTTAATATTTATTTTAGTTTGGATCTAATTTAGTTCCTTTATTAAAATTTTACATAATGTTAGCAGTAGTCAGTAAACTGGCAGTGCCTTTTTCTTGTCTTCCATATATTTTAAAAATATCTTAGAGTTTTAGTGCGTAAGTTAAATCTGGTAAGGTTCATTGTTAACTGACCCCACTTTTATAGCATTGCAATGCAAGTTAAGGAACACGGTATTTATCTCCCATGATGAGTAAAGGCTTGATATTCTGACAAAGCTCATAAATTTCAATAGAGAAAATTGTTTGTATTAATTTCAGGTATTTTGTTGTGTGAATGTTAGGGTAAGCAAAAGTTGGTTACCACCAATTTACCGCTCAATGTATTGCACTGAAACATATAGGTTGGTTTCAAATCCAATTACGTGTAAGTCTTCTAAAAGAAGACAACATTATTATCAAAGTTCAGATTGAACCATCCAAAATTAAGTGTTGAAATGTGATTGTAAACGTTTATTTTGAACGCTTGAGTTAGACAAGATTTCAAAATTGAGGAGACATTGAAATAAGACCCTTGATTTGTTTCAAGCTGAGGTGCTATTTAATAGTGTAAGTATTAGTAATTTATGCCATTCATTGTATCCTGGTTTACAGATTCCACAGTTCAAATTGTTTAAATTCACTTGATTACTGCTGAAAATGTTCCTAGGTAAACAGTTAAAAAATTCATTTCATACTGTTTCGTTGTTCAAACATGCTGTAGTATGCAGATATTGAATATTTACCACTCATCAATTTTCTACTTGTATCATTTTCTCGCCACCTCATAAAAGATCGCTAAAATTTGAGAAAACTCGTGTATGTGTCTATTTCAGGAGGCAAAAAAGGAAAAGACAGAATGTTGTACAGTACATACCACATTTATTTTACAGCATATCAACGAATTTATTTAAATGATGTAAAGTATCCGCATTGAAAAATAAAACACTGAATCATGATTGTTTGTACATTGCCTGACAACAGACTTATACTTTAGGTTTCTTTGCTGATGGCTCATCTTCTTCATTGTCATCTCCAGTACCTTGGAAAATCGTTTTCGGTTGTGTTCTGAAAGCACAGCAATGTTACAGCATTAGAAAATGATACACAACTTCTTAAGTTGACTTCAAAATCTTAAGTAATTTCTCACTTTGCATATGCTGGAGATATCCAATATGGATTTTCTGCTGCGTCCTTGGCGTATTTAAGAATAGCTTCTCTTGGATCTTGATCATCTTCAACACGTTTGCTTAGACCCATATTACGAATAACATAGGAGCTTAATGTGCTGCCAGAGGAAGCGACACGACCTCCTTGTCCTAAAATAGTATTGTTACAGAATTAGTTAAGTAATTACATACCCGGTAGCAATTAATTTAACTCATATAGCAAAGCTATTCTTTATAATTTACCAGATTTGATTGGGAGATCAGGCCTGTGTGATTTAACTGGATCTTGTCTTGCTTTTTCCATTATTTTGCGGGTGGTTTTGGCTCGGTCTTGTCTGAAGAGTGGCAGGGCGTGAGGGGTTAAGATATGCTGAGTGACCATGGCTTCCATCTAAGAATATAAACGCAGAAACAAGGTTGGCATATAATATGTATAGGTACAAATGTGTTACTGGTAGTTTGAGAATCCTGTTTCTAGTTTCAAGCCATCATACCTGCTTGACTTTCCTCCTTGTTTTAATGACACATAGCTTGGCACCCCGCATACTCTTTGCTTGATCATAATATATCTTTACAATTCCATTTCCACAACTAACAAATATTTGATTAAGTTTAGGGTGCCAAACAGATCTGATGACATGCTGAAACAATTTCAAACGGAAAAGTTGTTGAAGCTCGGTAAAATTATAACAAAATATTCAGTGATCAACCATTAGTAACATACCGAATCTGACACTTCTATTTCATGAGACTTTTCAAAGGTTTTGGTATCATAGAATAATAATCTTCCACTTGATTCACCTTTCATTACAGATTCACCAGTAAGGAGTAAAGCATCATCAGGTGAAAACATACAATCAGTGCTGGAAAATTAAACAATTTTAATTAAACAATTAATTTAACTCAGGTAATTAAGGTGGAAGTTGATATTACAGTAGTGGGAACAAACCTCTCATATCTGGAATACAAATTTTCAAATACATGAAGTGGATTTTTAAAATTTCTCAGGTCCCAAAGCTTAAGAGTGTTGTCACAGCCACGAGTGGCAATGGAATGTCCTAAATATGAAAATGCAATGCAGGATGTCTCCGATCCCTTCTGATGTGCATCACGCAACAGCTTTGTTGTATTCACCTGCGATGAGTTTCAAAAATAAGTGATAAGATTGGATTAAAAAATAATTACCATAAATTTAAAGTATTACAGTCAACATAAATTTTTCTCACAAATGCTCTACGGTGATCCCACATTTGTATCGACCCATCTTGACAGGCACAGGCAATTAGATTGCCATCTCGGTTATAAGTACATGTTGTGGGGACTGTTTTTATACCATTTGCACTGCGGGGCTTCATAATTGCTTTGTGTTGTTTGGGTTTTTCAATTTCCCATAAGCGGCATGTGCTGAAATAAGATAAATTAGATTATTTGAAGAACATAAGAAGATTCTTTTTCATAACAGCTTAAGAAGACATACCTATCTTGAGCACAAGTTAAAAACTCATTTTTAACTTTAGGATGCCAACAACCACTATTGAGGGCAGAATTATGGCCTTTAGTTCTGGACATGTCAGCAATGTACTGATCCCCTTTGACACATTCAGCCACCTCAAAACCATCTCTGTCCATGACCTTGGCCTAAGAAAAAAATTTTTTTAGTAAAAGAAGCTTTAAAATTAAATTTATAGAGGACTTATTGACCATTCAGAATTTTAAGTTCCTTACCTGAGCTGTGCCTGAAACAACTAAAAGAGAATCTCCAGTGCAAGAATATTGCAAGGCTTTGATTGGGTGACTGAAAAGGAGAAATGCTATAATTTGAGAACAGAGAGAAAATTTATCACCAAACAGAAAGACTGAACTTACTTCTCACAAGGCATGAGGGTCCGGAAACTCTGCAAAGTTGAATCCATTCCAGCAAAATCCCAGAATCTGACTTCGTAATCCACTGACCCAGAAGCAAGTCGGGCACCAGACGGATCAACACCTAATGCGATGACTGCTTTACAGCCATGTGTTAAAGCAACCTCATGACTTTGAGGAATCTTGTCCGTAGGTTTCTATAATGCAACACAATTTAAATAAGTCGTGTTGGTTCAGCTCACAGACTGTATTTTACAAAACTGACGTTTACAAATTCTTTCAACTTACTTCTGGTTCATCATCACTGAGATCCTCATCCCCTGCCTCAGCCACTTTTCCCGAAGATTTTGTATTGCTCTCACTCAACATATCTTTGGGGATCGGTGGACCAATCAGATCATCATCATCATCATCATCATCTTCACCATCATTGGCAGTGGCTTCATCTTTTGTTTTGACAGCATCTTTACCAGTTGGATTTGCATCTTTCGATGATCCGGCTATAGACAGGCCTTTAATGCTGGTATCTGTAAAACAGTAAATTAAATGAGGTACACCAAAATAAACACTAGAGATAGGCTCAGCCAATAAAATCTTAGCAGATGAACTGCAGTAAACATACCAACAGCTGTAGAGGCAGTTCGTTCCTGAGCTGTTTTCCTAGCAGTTTGAACCAATTCATTAATGTCAAACTGCTTTGCACTTTTTCCAAATCCACTAAACCCCATAGTGGATGCAACATTTTTCAGTTCTTCATCTTCAACAGCTTCAGATTCAATTGCAACGGGGCCTTTATGGCCTTTGGGTTGTTTTTTCCCAAAGGATCCAAAAGACCCAAAGGACCCACTCTCCTCCTTTTCCTCTTTCTGGACTTTCTGATCAGACGAGGTGGAAGCACTTGCAGAGAACTTGATGGCCCCAAACGATATCTTAGGCTGGTTCATCCTGAAAGTCTTAAAACAGACAAATCGTATTTATGACGTTTTAGCTTTTGGATCGCATCAGTGCCACAACATAACCTAACTGCCAAAGTAAACAAGACACACAACAGTTACCTAAAATCATAAAGTTACGACACTGCTAAAATATCTTCAGCCTCGCCTTTGGTTTCTTTGTATCATATGGTTTGCAGAGTTGTCCAAAGTATAAAACGCACAACAAACTACAAATACCGATACAAACAGCGAGAACAATAACACACTCGGACTCAGCAGCCGAATTCGGCTTTCGCTTGTCTCCCCCTCCCCCTCCTAGTAGCGCAGCGCACCTTTTGGTGAAAAATGTAAGTATGGTTTCGCGCGCTTTACCTGATTTGCTTAAAACTACTTGATAGGGGAATGGGGGTTAGAGAAAACGTGGGAACTGCCAGACGGGTCGCTATAAATCATGCAACTGAAGAAAACTTAATAGTTGTCCCCCATCGCATGGGGAGGAACCAGGCCAGACGGGTTCTCTTATTTCCAGCCTTGTATTGCCACCTGCCGCCCGGGGCATAGGCCACCCAACTGGCTCCCCTGCATTGCGTAAGACACTATGTGAACTGATCGAGACTAGAGCACGGTTCGGAAAGGGGGGGAACGGGATCTCTGTGTAGACCGAGTGGGCAGAAATTACTGATCGGTCCAAGTTAAATTGCAGAGAGAAACTCCGGGAAGAAACTTGTTTACGTAGCCAATACATTTCCACCGAACTGACGTCATCGCAGTCGTCGCGTTTCGACGAATCGCGAGGAAACCGATTCGTGGCAATCCGCCTTCGATATTCCCAAGATATTCCCCATCAATAGCTTTGTTGATTCAAAGGTGCCCCGCTCGTGCTCGTAAAACCCAGAGGAGGGTATCCTCCTTTTCATTTAAAATCCCTTTCGCTTTTGGTGCATCTATAGAACTTTGGGTCACCCCCCCCCCCTCCCCCCCCCCGCCGGGGGTCAGACCCGGTCTTCCCTGGACTGGGCAGCATGTCCTTGGGCGTAGGTAAGGCCGCCAGAGCCCGAGAGACCTAGGGAATGACCCGGGCCCGGCTCTACCCAGGCTCTACCCGGCACCATCTGCCGGCTCGGCTAGGCTCGGCTCGTCCCCGGGCGGGCTTAGCTCGGCTGACAGCGGCGCGAGGAGCTTTCACTTCACTGACTGCACCTCGGCCGCAGGTACCCGGAGGTACCCTGCGAGGTACCCTGCGAGGTACCCTGCGAGGTACCCTGCGAGGTACCCGGAGGTGTACCCGGCGCGGCTGCGGTGCCGGCGCCCTGCTGGGTAGAGGTACGCCCGTTGCCTCGGGGCCGGTATTTGAACTCGCAGTCAGGTCGACTCCAGGCCGTGGCCACTTTTTCCCCCCAGCTTCCGCTTGCAGCAGGCTCAGCAGGCGCGGTGGGGTGCGGGGTGAGGCGCGGGGCGCGGGGCGAGGCGCGGTGCGGGAGTGCATGGGCCCCGTCCCGTGGCATGTGGCTTCATGGCGGCACAGAAGAAATGAGAAAAGGGAACGCAGCGCCATGATGCCAGGGAAGGGGGGGCGGGGAGGCGCAGTGCGCAGCGGAGGGGCAGTCAGTGGCGGGCCCTGGCCGCGAGGCGCGGC